ATGGGGTGTATCCAGCCATAAGTTAGTCTTTTTGAATAAAAGCAGGGCCCAGGATTCTTTTCTTGTTTGAATTTCTATTCAAGTAGCTTTCTACATTTTTCTGATTTATTTGTGGGGTCTAACGTCCCAAAACCACTATTTGATTATGAGAGACGCCGTAGTGGAGGGCTCCGAAAATTTTGACCACCTGGGGTTCTTTAACGTGCACCCAAATCTGAGTACACGGGCCTACAACATTTCCGCCTCCATTGGAAATGCAGCCGCCACAGCCGAGATTTGATCCCGCGACCTGCGGGTCAGCAGTGAGTACCTTAGCCACTAGACGACCATGGCGGGGCTTTTTACATTTGTTTCTGTTCTTTATGTTGCATTCATTAGTTACTGCATGTAATTGGTTCACTGTTTTGTCTCCCGCTTCATAGATTCATGCGTGAGGCTTGACGTTTAAAACTCTTCCTGCAGCAGCTTTGAATGCCGAGATTCTTGAACATGTGCCCAAATTTAAGTAAATTACCGTTTTTGAATTTCGCCCCTTGAAAATGCCCCTGGCATGGCCTGGGATCAAATCCGTGACTTTTTGCTTAGCTGCAGAAGACCATATTATTATGACGTCACTGTGGTTGTTATGTCGAAGCATATGCAGCCTGATTGTGAAATGACAAACATTGCGCTTAGGCTTTGATAAGCTAGGAAAGCGTGCTGTTCACACGTGAGAAAGTGTGAATGTTGCCGGTGTACAAAGATACTACTAGTTGCATCCATTATTGTACACTGTCAATTTTCATGAAAGGGAACATGCGAGTGATTGGCCTGCGCTTTGCCCCACCGCGGTGATCTAGTGGCCAAGGTACTCGGCTGCTGGCCCGCAGGTCGCGGGATCGAATCCCGGCTGCGGCAGCTGCATTTCCGATCGAGGCGGAAATGTTGTTGGCCCGTGTGCTCAGATTTGGGTGAACGTTAAGGGCCGTTCCACGAACTCCCCGCACTGCCGCAACGCACGTGCCGGGACCCCTACCGCACGCAAGCGGGGGACAAATAAGCCAATTGGCGACGCTCTTTCACCCTCCGCAGTGTCGCCAATGGGTTTATTTGTTCCCCGCTTGCGTGCGGTAGGGGTCCCAGCACTTGCGTTGCGGCGGTGCAGGAAGCGCGTGGAACGGCCCTAAAGAATCCCAGGTGGTCGAAAATTCCGGAGCTCTCTACTACGGCGTCTCTTATAATCACATGGTAGCTTTGGGACGTTGAACCCCACGTATCAATCAATCTTTTGGCTTGCGCTTTACGGCGGCTGCCTAAGGCACCATAAAGCAAAAGGTAGGGAAAGCGCTTCCGCCTTTGGTGGCACCACCCGTTATCAGAACAGAGCGGCAGTGCTATATAGCCGTGCTTGTACAACGGGCATCACTCGTTATTTTGTTTGTCAATATATGGTGCCGAAAGCCGATGTGCTTTCTTTGGTGGTCGGTATGGTGCGGTAGGCACCCGCAGCAGAGCGCAGACCACGCGTTCGCATGTTGCCTTTCATAAAAAATTGTCAGTGTACGTGTTACAACGCAGTCTGTATTTTTAAGGTTCATCACTAATTTTAGAATTACGTCAATGACTTAAAAATTGCAGGCTTGTATATATACACCTTGGGCACTGTAGCACAGGTCGATTAGAAATACCAGTGTTAATGCCGTGGCGACAAATCTTTATTAAAATCTTTGTTTATTTTGTTCACAAGGAATACGTCAAGCGGTCTTGTATGTTCGCACTAAGATTATCTGGTCATTGGGTCATAAGATACGAATAAGATAGCTTATAATACCCCTTACAGGGTTCGTCATTCAGAGGCGTGATGTTCACCATTGTCGAGCATTCCCATCAACGTCATTGAAAATGAAGCATCGTAGGCTCAATCTGATACACTGTTTCATTTCGTTTCATTGTGCGTCGAGCGGCACAATTGCCTTAAGGAATTCGGGTAAATTTTCAACATTAAAGTATACTCTATCGATGGCGTGCATCCCTTATTTATGCGCGAAAACATGTGCCTTTGCTACATTTTTCATCGAAGTGGTGCAAATGCAATGCATGCGCGGACGTTCATTACACCGATTTCTATAAGTTCCACAGGCAGAAACTGCTTCGGCATTGTCGCTGGCTAGCGTTTCCAGCGAGCGACCTGCCTCTGGAGTTTGCGGGAACTGCTCACCTTCATGGCGATGGGCCGCTGCTGCGTCGTCCGATGGTCGGCCGTGCTCCCGGTCTGTCCCCGGCGCTGTGGCAGTCGTCCGGCTTCAGGTCCACAGAAATGAATTCGGGGGACGTTGTCCTCGCTTGGCGGTCGCCCACGTCCCGGACACAGGAGGCCCATAAAAGTGGTGGCCCCATTTTCGGCGGCCACCCAACAGCGGTCGCTTCTGCTTTCGGAGCCACGGGCGGCCGCGCATTGAAAGTCCCGGATGCACGTTCGAAGCGCATTCAGGCGAGTCGCATCCGCACCAGCTTGTCGCATCGGTGTTCCCAATGTCCCCTCCCCACGCAGACCTTTTACGAAGCGACCTCAGCGGTGGTCGTTGGCTCCTGTTGTTGCTTTTGTCGGTGTCTGCTTTCCTCGCTACGCTGGGTGCGTTATTCAGTCTGAACTTGTTGGCCTTGTTCGTTACCTTCAGCATTGAATGTGTTGCGACCGCGAATGCGGCGTGCGGGTTGTTATTTTTCTCCTCGGCTGTTTAGTTGCCCGTTTTTATGTCGGGGTGCCACTTCCGTGGTTTTTCCTCTCTGCCGGTGGAGTCGCTCAACTGCGTCGTCCACACCCTTTCCCCTTCGTGCGCACTATTGCAGGCGTATTCAGACTGTATGAGAGAAAATAATATGGGTTCTTGAATACAAGTGCCACCGCTAACCATATGCAAAAAAGAAAATGATATCCATGCACTAGGCTGGCGAATGTTGCATCCATCGGTCTGCCAAAGCTTGGCATGAATGTAGCGGTAATGAATGCTCGTTGCCATTTATCAATGCCGTCTTCTTTGCGAGGCATGCTTACTATTCATCCTTCCCCGCTTCCGCGTGCTCCTCGCTCGTTCCAGCAACTCAATGTGCAGGGCCACGGGATATCCTACGCGTGCCTGAACTGCCTGAAATTTCTCCCTTTCTTTATATACGCCGCTTTTCTCCCCTTTTGGAGCATCTAGTCTGATACCTGGTTTTCGTGGTTGTGCCATCACCTTGTACTCTCGTTAGTTCCGGGTCGTTAGGAAACTCTTCATCTGTATTCTCACTCATCTAGAGAGTAGAGATGAGAAGATGATGTATGGTGAGCGTTTAAACCGTATTTCTATGTGTAGCGGCTCGTTCCTTTTTTCTGCAGTACCTCCAGTGGAAACAAAAAACTGCACAGATAAAAACTCTAGCACTACGTAAATAGTCTTCACCACTAGCATGGTCACTAAGAATCAATGTGTTTTTCAGGCTGTCTGAATATTAGATTTAACATACGTGGAAAATGCAAGAATGAAAATGCAAATATTACCCGATTGCGTTGTAGCCATTGGTCGTTCAGATGGTGGTCATCCATATGATATACAAATGTATTTGAGACCAATTACGAAGAAAAAAGAGCTTGCATCTGATAAAGGACAATGTTATAAAGGACAAATGTGTAGGTGTGAGTAGGAATATGATAAGGTTTCCTCATGGGCCTAGTGAGCAAGGTTTTCTCGATTGATGTTTTGATTTGTGGGGTTTAACGTCCCAAAACCACCATTTGATTATGAGAGACGCCGTAGTGGAGGGCTCCGGAAATTTTGACCACCTGGGGTTCTTTAACGTGCACGCAAATCTGAATACACGGGCCCACAACATTTCCGCCTCCATCAGAAATGCAGCCGCAGCAGCCGGGAATCGAACCCGCGACGTGCGGGTCAGCAGCCGCGTACCTTAGCCACTAGACCACCGCGGTGGGGCAAGCAAGGTTCTCTCACTCAGTACTTTTGTATTTCAGGTATTTTCAGTCATTGCTGGAATGCTGACACAATCTGTCTTCACAGAGGAAATCAGTCAAAGAATTATTGAACGTTTTGCGTGGTAGTGCCTCATTGAATAATCTGTACCACCCCCGCTCTTTTTTCGTGTGCCTACTCTTCTCTCTGCTTTCCTTCTCGTGTGTCTTCCGCTTCCCCTTAGTGCTCAGTAGCAAACCGGGTGCTACAATTTTGGTTGACCTCGTTGCCTTTCACTCAATTTATTCCCTCTCTCTCTCTTCCTTACACTTTACAAGTTTTACGTTGAAGCACATAGAAAAAGGTTATCAGAAAATTATATTTGATATTCGAACTGAGATAAATTCGTAAAAACATGTTGTAGGCCAACGTGCCCACATTTGGGAGCACGTTAAAGAACCCCAGGTGGTGAAAATTTCTGGAGCCCTCCACTACGACGTCTCTCTTAATCATAAGGTGGTTTTGGGACATCAAACCCCACATATTATTCAAATAATCAATTCGTGAAAACACCATTATAAAATGCGGAGACATCTGTCATTTGCCACATCTGTCCTTTACTGCCAGGTACCATATTTACGAGTGTACTTTGTAGTTGCTAGATGACGCAGAATACTTTTTAGTAGGAAGGAAAGTCATACTTTAAGATATTGTGAAAACGAGTCAGTGAGGGTTTGTGAAGAAAACAGTGCTAACGCAGGGCACTGCACGATAGCCAGTGCGAAAGAACTTTCAAAATAATGAATTCCTGTTGTCTCACCGATTGTCTCGTACCTAAGCCAAGCATAACGTTAATTGTTTCTCTGCTGTCTCCAAAGCAGAGGAATAAAGCCGCAGCGCGAGGACTTGTGAAATGAAAAATAAAAGGATGAAGTTAAGCTAAAGATACGGTGTGAGCATTCTGTGGGAAAGATTTTGGGAGGGGGGGGGGAGGGGTTCAACATTACTTTATGCATGTGCTTGCACGCGTTTGTATGAGTGTGTAGGTATACACGAAAGCAAAGGAAGGAGAGGAGGAATAAATGAGGAAGGACAGGGAGGTTAGCCAGTAAAAAAAAAGTTAAATACCAAAGGGGTCAAACCCCCTCCATCCCCACCAACCACCCCTTGGCTACGCTCATAGGGCCAAAGAAATTTCGACTATTTTTTTGTATTTGGAACTTGCCTTTGACCGCTTATCCTTCAACTGCCTTGGCAGGTCCGAGTAGCACCATCGCTCTCGGAGGCAAGCATGTTTCGTTTAGGTGTGGCTAAGAGCCATTGTTGTACATATGATATACTGTTCCAGGTGGTTAATTTCAATGTTTATTATTTTCTAAGTTTCCTTCATTATGCAATTAAGCGGCTAATGATTAAATATTGTGTATTGAAACTTCATTGGGTGCGGCGATATTTAAGACCCATTTGTACCTGCAATAAGCTCACGCTAGTCTGGAATTTCCGCTATAAGGATTATGCGTCAGCTTGGATCAGAAACAGCGCTACTACAGTGCTCTGCGAGAAAGTTGTTCACACTGAGATAAAGTCGAATGGTGCACGCGGTCGTATTTAAGAGGTAATTGCCGCCAAGTTCCAACACAGGTTACTGACGAACCGAAGCGTCATAGCTCAGCCGTGTGGAGCCTAGGGTAAGAAGCTCCATTTTCGACTTTAGAAAACGCTTCGCTAGTAATTAGATGTTTTCAGTGTCAAATCGCCGTTATGAATTGTGTTCCACATAGAAACCCGCCAGGCTTGCGTGGAGCCCGCAGCACAGTCAGAGCGAAAACTGGAGAGTTGCCTTTCAAAGCCTCTTCTAACACTCTTTAGGTAAGTACTACAAGCACACTTGCTGGGTGCCCGCTGTGCTTTAAATAGTCATAATTTAATGTTGTAGGCCGGCATAATTGTTCTTGTTCTTGTTGACCTTCTCTTGTCTCATATGTTATCCTTCGTCATTTTTTGGTGAAGCGCGGTATTCACTACACACTTGCTAGGAATTTCTGACAATTTTTTATCCAGTGACTGACGAGGATGAAGAAGTATGCCTGAAGTGGGTATGCGCCACAGTTATTAAGTTATCAAGAACAAGCTTTGTATTGAGTTGGAGCATCGGACGACCCTCTTCTTACGTGATTACCATTGTGTGACACCTGGTTGTTTCTTTGATGTTCTAAAGCGTTTTATTACTTATAACAATGCGATTCCTTTCCCCACATCAAGCCTGTATAAGGCCAGTTTAGACAAGAGTTCCAAACATCGGGGTGGCTCAGTTGATAAAGGAAAAAAAAAAGAAACTGGCGTGGCTCAGTGGTTTAATGCTAGGCTGGCCCACTGCAGAACCGGGTTTGTATTCCATTGTGCCCCTAATGTTCTTTTTTTTATTTACGCGTGTTTTTTTTATTTTTTTCGATACTGGTCATGGACACTGGCGGTGGCGGCAGCTGACAACTACGACGCCGCACGTGACCCATGGTCTGAGTGCATAGTAGCTTTCGCTGTCAGCATTGCCTGCAATATACTCTTGAAAACAGTTCTGTCAAAAAAGTTTTTGGTGAGTAATGAAGGGTTCGAAAGTTCTACCTGTCCTTGATATAATTTTTATGGGATTTTCTTTGAGGACGTCATTTACGTTTATATTATTTTCTGAACTGTGAGACAATCTATTGACGAAATTAATTTTATTTTCCGTAATCATTTCGGTCGTACGCAATACAACTTCTTGAGTCGCAAGCAGGATCATACTGCAATAGAAATAGCATTTTTGTTTGCCTTTTTCCACGGCACTTACTAAAAAAGAAAGTATTCATCGAGTAAAGAAATCTTACATGCGACAGCCGATCAGTGGTCAATACTGCGGTGCTCTGCTTTGAAACAGTCAATCACTCCTTGTTCGGCCCTTTGAAGCACTTTTTTTTCATATCTATGAAAATTTTATCAAACGCTTTGCCAAATAATTCTATGGCATAAGAGCATCGATGTGCGAAAACATCGTCAATAAAAAAGGTAATTTTATGCATTAGGACCGGGATAATATCAATGTCAAGCATGGCCCAGAAGCAGAAGCAAAGCAAACGAACATCATGGCACTCATATAATGGACACTTTCTCTTCAAAAGGCTGGTGATGAATAAAACTTGATTTTTGTCCAGAAAAGACACAAGGGAGACCACGCGCCACCCGGTTAATACCACGTAGGGACCGTCAAGTTAAAAAAGATGCCGCTAATTCGCTAAAAAAAATCTTCTTGCCGGTAGGCATACGTTGATACCAACTAGTTCGCTGGATTCTGTGCCGACCGGTTGTGCCCTCGCTGTTTCCGACGACAGTGGAGCTCTGGCCGACTGGGTTGGTTCTACGCCACCCCCTGACGCCGGTCCCCGACGACGACGACAGCGTAGCTCTGGCCGACTGGATTAGCCCTACGCCGTCTCCTCTCGCCGACAAGAGCTCTCGCCAGTGGTGCCCCGTCCTCGGATTCCTGCAACCGTGTCCCTCTTTCCTGCCTTGTCCTTACTTCCGTCGTTCGCTG